ATATGACAAATCCTGTGTTGATACAAGAACTAGTTGAAAAGTTGCCAGCTCAAATGCGCCTACAATGGGCAATGTTTTCTAGGCCGTCTTCAGACGCTAATCTGAAGGCGTTTAGCGATTGGCTGTTCGACTTGGCAGACGCTGCCAGCAACGTTACATCAGTTCTTTCTGCTAGCAATCCTGAGTCGGAGAAACGCAAAGCTCATCGGGTAAGTGTTCATGCGGAGGAGAAGAATGCTAGCAGAGAATTCGCCGAACGGGTTAAACCCAAATTATCATGCTATTTATGCAAAGAATCTCATGTTATTTTAAAATGCGATAAGTTCAAAAACTTAGGTTATGACGAAAAATGGAATGAGGTACGTAGGTTGCAGCTTTGTAGGTTATGTTTACGAAAACACGATGCGAGAAGCTGTCGTGAGAGGAAAGCATGCGGCGTGAACGGTTGCACCTACAAACATCACCCGCTTTTACACAAAACCTTCGATGCTCAAACAGCAATTGTGGCTCATCACAAAGAAGTAAGTAACACGCTTTACCGTGTTGTACCAATAACGATTTATGGAAGAGGCACGTCATGTGACGTTTATGCCCTTTTAGACGATGGATCCGGCCCAACTCTTATTGAGAAAAGTGTGTTGCAACGTTTGCAGGTGCAAGGTGCTAAAGCAGATTTGTGTCTTAAATGGACAGACGGCACGGTACGTGTACAGCGGGACTCCGATTGGATCGATTTAGATGTATCGCCGCGTGGGAAGCAAAAGAGGCTTACTCTGCGTAACGTACGCTCCGTGGATGCGCTTGATCTTCCACTTCAAACAATGGATATTACGGAGCTTGCAGGATTACATAAACATCTAAGGGGAATTCCAGTTGAGTCATACCGCAACGTTGTGCCACAATTAATAATTGGATTAAGCAACAAAAATGTGATGATGCCACTTAAGTTTCGTGAAGGCAAAGCGCATGAGCCAGCTGCCACCAAAACCCGCCTTGGATGGACCGTTTATGGTGTCATAAATACCGACGAACGACAGAACGTTGACAATATGCAGCTACATGTTTGTGAGTGTGATGACGATGTAGCCTTGCAAAAGTTGGTCACAGAGTACATGTCCCTGGAGAAAAATTGTAATGACCGGGAAAATAATCAGTTTCAAAGTACAGAGTTAAATGAAATGCGAGGCAACGTTAAGCGCAAGGGAGAACACTTCGTAGCAAAGCTGCTATGGAAGTCGGAGAGCACTACTATGCCAGACAACTATCCCGTGGCTTTGCGTAGACTCACATGCTTCGAGAGAAAGTTAGAATCGTCTCCCGATCTTAGGTTACTTGTAAATGAACATATTCGCTCAATGGAGGAAAAGGGGTACATTCGCAAATTAAGCACAAGCGAGATTTCCGCCTATCATCCTCGGAAGTGGTATTTGCCAATATTTGCGGTGCGAAATCCAAATAAACCACAGAAGGTCAGAATAGTGTGGGATGCAGCTGCGGAGTACAAAGGGCTCTCCTTGAATTCATGCCTGGACAAGGGCCCAGACTTATTGACCTCTCTCTTTGATGTTTTACTTAATTTCCGGATAGGGAAAATTGGGTTGTGTGGCGATATCTGCGAAATGTTTCACAGAGTGCACATCGATGAAGAAGATCAGCAGTCGCAGCGTTTCCTGTGGAGAAACTGTGAGGATGCTCGTCCACCAGATGTCTACATGTTGTTAGTGATGAGTTTTGGGGCAAGCTGTTCGCCATCCCTAGCTCAAGTTGTGAAAAATTTAAACGCTTTAGAGTTCGCCGATACGCACCCAAAAGCAGCTAAAAGTATTTTGGAGAGGCATTACGTCGATGATATGCTCGACAGTGTTGGTACGATTGACGAAGCGGTTCAATTGGCTACGAGTGTTCGTGCGATCCACAAGCACGCAAATTTTCATATTCGAGGTTGGCTATCCAACTCCAAAGATGTCGTCGAAGCCTTAGGGGAAGCAGGCGATGCACGCGAATTTTGTGGCGCTGCCAAACGAGTAGATCAGGTAGTTGAAGCAAGTAAGGTGCTAGGCATGTGGTGGCAGACGTCTGATGACACACTCACATACAATTTGAAATTCACGAAGGCCAACGATGAAATTCTGCGAGGAGCTAAGCTTCCAACAAAGAGGGAGCTGTTAAGATTGCTGATGTCTATATTTGACCCGTTGGGGCTATTAACCTTTTTCTTAATCGACGCTAAAATTTTACTTCAGAAGGTATGGCGAAGTGGTATTGGATGGGACGATTCTATACCGGAGCAGTTGTCAGGTGAGTGGATGAAGTGGTTATCCTTTCTTCCACAAGTTCAAAATATGAAGGTGCCCAGA